CGAAATCAGATTGATTATATTCTCTGCAGCCAAAGATGGAGAAGCTCTATACAGTCAGCAAAAACAAGACCTGGAGCTGACTGTGGCTCAGATCATCAGCTTCTTATAGCAAAATTCAAGCTTAAACTGAAGAAAGTAGGAAAAACCACTGGGCCGGTAAGATACAATCTAAACCAAATCCCTTATGAATACACAGTGGAAGTGAGGAACAGGTTTAAGGATTTAGATTTGGTGGACAGAGTGCCTGAAGAACTATGGATGGAGGCTCGTAACATTGTACAGGAGGCAGCAACGAAAACCATCCCAATGAAAAGGAAATGCAAGAAAGCAAAGTGGCTGTCCAACGAGGCCTTACAAATAGCGGAGGAGAGAAGGCAAGCAAAATGCGAGGGAGATAGTGAAAGATACAGGAGATTGAATGCAGATTTCCAAAGAATAGCAAGGAGAGACAAGAAGGCCTTCTTAAACGAGCAATGCAAACAAATAGAGGAAAACAACAGAATGGGAAGAACCAGAGATCTGTTCAAGAAAATTGGAGATATGAAAGGAACATTTCGTACAAAGATTACCATAATAAAGGACAAAAGTGGTAAGGACCTAACAGAAGCAGAAGACATCAAGAAGAGGTGGCAAGAATACACAGAAGAATTATACCAGAAAGATATGGATGTCTCGTACACCCCAGGTAGTATGGTTGCTGACCTTGAGCCAGACATCCTGGAGAGTGAAGTCAAATGGGCCTTAGAAAGCACTGCAAATAACAAGGCCAGTGGAAGTGATGGTATTCCAGCTGAACTATTTAAAATTTTAAAAGATGATGCTGTTAAGGTGCTACACTCAATATGCCAGCAAATTTGGAAAACTCAGCAGTGGCCAGAAGATTGGAGAAGATCAGTCTACATCCCAGTCCCAAAGAAGGGTAGTGCCAAAGAATGCTCCAACTACCGCACAATTGCACTCATTTCACACGCTAGCAAGGTTATGCTTAAAATTCTACAAGGAAGGCTTAAGCAGTATGTGGATCGAGAACTCCCAGAAGTGCAAGCTGGATTTAGAAGAGGCAGGGGAACCAGAGACCAAATTGCAAACATGCACTGGATTATGGAGAAAGCTAGAGAGTTCCAGAAAGACATCTACTTCTGCTTCATTGACTATGCAAAAGCCTTTGACTGTGTCGACCACAGCAAACTATGGCAAGTTCTTAAAGAAATGGGAGTGCCTGATCACCTCATCTGTCTCCTGAGAAATCTCTATGTGGGACAAGAAGCTACAGTTAGAACTGGATATGGAACAACTGATTGGTTCAAAATTGGGAAAGGAGTACGACAAGGCTGTATTTTGTCTCCCTGCTTATTTAATTTATATGCAGAATACATCATGCGAAAGGCTGGGCTGGATGAATCCCAAGCTGGAATTAAGATTGCCGGAAGAAATATCAACAACCTCAGATATGCAGATGACACAACCTTGATGGCATAAAGTGAGGAGGAATTAAAGAACCTTTTAATGGGGGTGAAAGAGGAGAGCGCAAAATATGGTCTGAAGCTCAACATCAAAAAAACGAAGATCATGGCCACTGGGCCCATCACCTCCTGGCAAATAGAAGGGGAAGAAATGGAGGCAGTGAGAGATTTTACTTTCTTGGGCTCCATGATCACTGCAGATGGTGTCAGCAGCCACGAAATTAAAAGACGCCTCCTTCTTGGGAGAAGGGCAATGACAGGCCTAGACAGCATCTTGAGAAGTAGAGACGTCACCTTGCCAACAAAGGTCCGTATAGTTAAAGCCATGGTTTTCCCAGTAGTGATGTATGGAAGTGAGAGCTGGACCATCAAGAAGGCTGATCGCCGAAGAATTGATGTTTTTGAATTATGGTGCTGGAGGAGACTCTTGAGAGTCCCATGGACTGCAAGAAGATCAAACGCATCCATTCTAAAGGAAATCAGACCTGAGTGCTCACTGGAAGGACAGATCGTGAAGCTGAGGCTCCAGTACTTTGGCCACCTCATGAGAAGAGAAGACTCCCTGGAGAAGACACTGATGCTGGGAAAGATGGAGGGCACAAGGAGAAGGGGGCGACAGAGGACGAGATGGCTGGATAGTGTTTTCGAGGTTACCAGCATGAGTTTGACCAAACTGTGGGAAGTAGTGGAGGACAGAGGTGCCTGGCGTGCTCTGGTCCATGGGGTCACGAAGAGTCGGACACGACTAAATGACTAAACAACAACAACAACAACAACAACAACTGTTCCAGCCAGGTCCTGCTTGCAGGGTCAAGTCTGGTAGGTGATGCCAATAAATACGAGGCTGCCTGGTCACAGATAAACATGTAGGCCTGCTACAAATGAGCAATATTTTCAGGATCAAGGACAGAGAGACCAGGCTTAGCAGGATCTGATCTGGGGTGGTGGTGGATGTGGAGGAGAAACAAGAGGGAGGGCTCTTGGCTATTCTATGCTGGTTTCCCCTTGCTTTCTGGGCCCATTCAGCACCCCTTTTCTGGTTATAGGCTTCCCAGCTGCTCCTGCTGATGCCGACTCAGCACTGGGCCCCATTCCTTTGCTCTCCCTCTTCCCACCAACATGCAAGATGCTTCTCCTGCCAGTTTCCCACTGGCTGTCAGATGAAAGGAATCGGCTGAGTCACTCGGGGAGAAACAGCTGCTGCCAGAGAGGACAGGGGGAAAGGATATGGCGAAGCTCAAGCGAGCAGCAGCCCCCGGGAAGCCTTCCTTGCTGGAGTTGTTGGGCAAGGCAAGTGCCTGCACGCAATCATGGATGGACCCCTCACTATCAAGGCTTAGAGCAGGTTCTGGGGGACCCTGTGGCCCTCCAGGAGTGGTTGGACTCCAATTTCTGTCATCCCCATCCACTATGGCAAGTAGTCAGGGAATGATGGGAGATGGAGTCCATCAACATCTGGAGGACCCACAGGTTCTCCATCTCTGGCTTAAAAAGATATACAGTGGTACCTCAGGTTAAGAACTTAATTCGTTCTGGAGGTCTGTTCTTAACCTGAAACTGTTCTTAACCTGAAGCACCACTTTAGCTAATGGGGCCTTCTGCTGCTGCTGCACCACCACTGCACGATTTCTGTTCTCATCCTGAAGCAAAGTTCTTAACCCAAGGTAATATTTCTGGGTTAGCAGAGTCTGTAACCTGAAGCGTATGTAACCTGAGGTACCACTGTATACTTAATGGGTGTTAGTCATTTTATTCAGATGCCTGTTGACATCAGCCCTCAGACCGGATAGGTTTGCTGTTCTTTTGGCCATTAAGACCCAGAGGCTGTGGAAAAGGCAAAGGTCTAATGCAGGGGAGGGAAACCTGTTAGGTATTCCTTAGACTGTAACTCCCAGCACCCCTGGCCCTTAGGTTTTCTTCAAAGGCTGCAAACCAATGCACTCTTACCTGGGAGTAAGCTGCATTTAACGGAATTGGACTTACTTCCAAATACAGAAGCATAGGGTCATATCCTGTATGTACCTTATATTTCTTTTACAGTGCTTCTATTCTGTTTATTTTGTTTTTAGGAATTAAGTGGAGTTTGGAGGAAGCAGAGAAGAAGGAAATAAGCCAAACTATCAGTAGGCATCACAAATACTTCGTTTGTTCATTGGATTGGCCCAGCCAATCTCAAGAGCTCTGGTCCACATTAAAATCAATGCAGCAACTACTCAGATATATTTCCTGCTTAATAGCTGAAAACCAGCACTATTTTTTTAATATTAAAAAAGTCTTGTAGGGCTTTTGAAAAATATAGTGTTGGAGCAGTCTTTCAGGAAGGTAAGGCTGCACAAGTCTCATTGTGATTGATGGATCCTCAAGAATAGTGGAATAAATTAAGTGGGTGGGTTGCAATAACATTTGGCCCTGCTCATACCTGGTTGTTACACCCTAGTTGTACATTTCCATGAAGCAGCAGCAGCAGCAGCAGCAGCACACCAGTAGGATATCCCTTGGATGTTTTCCTTTTTCTTTGCCCATACCTCTGCCAGACAAATGGAAATTTACAAGGAAGCCAACTGTACAAACAGAATATGCTCAATAAATACCAGAGAAGCATAAATAGAAATCTGGAATGGGACTACAGATCTTCAACTGGAGCATTAAGCCAACCAGCCACACTGAAGTCTTGTTTTTGTTTTTTAAGGTATAATGAAAGTTCCCCACGTAATAGACCAGCAAAATATCCATACTCTCTGTGTGGTGGGACTTATATACAGGAAGACCTCCTGGAGGATGTACACAGACCCACATGTCATACCCACTGCAGTGGGATTCTAGTCAGTGATGGTCAACCAGGCGGGATATAAATGTAGGTTGCAATACTGCACACTTTCCAGTGAGTAAGCCCCACCGACCACAGTGGGACTGGCTTCTAAGTGGACATGCATAGGATTGGGCTGGTAATAAATAAAAACATCCAAATATATTGCTCAAATCAGAGGTGGGATGGGAGAGCAATAGCTACAGTTCAGTACGTATGGGCAACATTTCCCTCCTGCGCTCAGTTTCAAAATATAACAACAGCCTCAATGTGCTACTGAACAGCCCTCTGTTTATCCCTGGCAGTGAAACCTTTGCTTGAATAAATATCTTGCTCTGCCTTTGGGGCGCACTTTTACTTGGGCTTTGGGGAACTTGTAGAGTTGGGAGAACAGCTACCAAAGTTCCTCCGAGAACATCGGCCCATGCTAATTTTAACCCAGCCATTCAAAACAACGAGTTCCCGAAGTGCTTGTTCTGACCCATTCATCTAGTCCTGCAAAGCCAATGGTCGTGTGGTACATTGGATAGCGTGGGGTCCGGGAGACCCACACAGTCACAAAGTTTTCTGCAGGTCCTTTGGCTAGCCAGTCACACTCTCTGCCTAACCTACCTTATAGGATTATTGTGAGAATAGGCACACACACACACACACATACACATACACATACACACACACATCCCTGTATACTTCAGAGGAAGACTGGGGTAAAAATCTACTGAATATTTAAGTGAAGTTTTAAAAACCATCCCTGGTTTGCATCATTGGTTTATTTTGGTAACTTTGGGTGGAAAAGATTACCGTACAAATATTTGGTTAGGTTTCCAGGCAAATACAAATAACCAGCAATATGATTCCCACAATATGTAGTGATGGCTAGAAACTTGGATGGCTTTAAGAGGATTAGACAAATTTGTGGTGGATGAGGCAGTCAGTGGCCACTAGCTGTGATGGCTGAGTTCTACCGACCCTGTCAGAGGCGGCACAGGGCAGTTGTTGGAAATTGCTAAGTGGGGAGGGTGCTGCTGCCTGTGGGAAATCCGTAAGCAGGACCAGAGTGCATCTGGCAAGCCAGCCTGAGGACAGGATGCCAGACGGCATTTGTTTTAATTCACCAGGGCTCTTCTCATATTCTTAAAACATAACCCCAGGCAGTGGTCTGCTGGCTTCTGGTGCTACCGTACTGTTACAGCTAAACAGACCTTATTAGTGCCTGGATGGAAGACTACCCGAGATCTCTATGTAATCTCACCCGCACTTCCTAAAAAGAGGGGAGAAAATAGGATGTGAAAATAGGATGATAAATAAAAGCGCAAACTTGCGATTGTCGGTTTTCATCCATGCACTCCCTTCTGTGTCGACACCTGGGCTGTTGCAACATTTCCCCTTTCGCTGGTGGGAGAAAGAACAATCCCAACACTCCAGCTCCCTCTGCTGTTCCTTTATATTTTTGTAATTCACTAAGAGATTGTGATGGCTGTAAATAGGACAGCACTCTTTCGGAGCAATGGCTCTGGCTGCTTTATGACTTCTTGTGCTCCTTCCAGCAAATCTGCATTCCCTGCCACACGCAAGATTTGTCCCTAATCGCTGTTTCAACAATGCTCAGGCCACAGTTCCCATTGCAATATTTTGTGTGGGTGGTTGCAATTCAAGTAGGAGTAGGGAACCTATGCCCCGCCCAGATATTGCCAGAGCATAGGTCCCATCATTCCTGACCATTGTGGCCAAGCTAGCTGGGGCTGACGAGGGCTATAGCCCAACGACAGCTGGAAAGCCATCAGTTACCCACTCCTGAATTAAACCCAGTATGTCATGTAAACATGAGTGATTAGGCCCAGCAACTCCACAAGAATGACCAACAGTTTATGTTTCAGGAGTTACCTAAAGAACTGCCTGCTCCAATATAATATGCCCACTTTCTGAGATCAGCCTCAGAGGTCCCACCCCTTGTTAAGATGAGTCGTGATCATAGACAAGGCCTTCTCAGTGGTGGCACCACATGTTGGAACTCTCTTACCAGAGCAGCTCTCCTGATATGGTCTTTCTTTTTGGTGCTAGGTGAAAACTACATTTTCCCAGGCCTGATGTGATTTGTCTTTTGTAGGTTTAATTTGTAAGCCACCTTAGTAAAGTGGGCAATAAACTCTGGTGAGAAATAAAATACCACCACAAGTGGGGCCTGTTAACAAAACGTTGCTCCTCACTTCATCCCTTACATATATTTGTCATTACCAGGATTTGATCTGAAGGCACATCATACAACAATCTTGCAAAAACCAACCAGGACTGGGTCTGATCAGTGCTTGGATAGGAGACTGCTGAGGTACCCTGTAAACTCCGCTTCAGATTCCAAGATGGAAGAAAAGGAAGTAACAAATGAAAGAAGTTATCGTAGTAACAGCTGCTTGCTTGTTTCACAAAGACACATACACACAGAGATAGCATTTTGTATGTGCAAACTGAATTATATTTGTCACTTGTACAGGTGCAAAAAAAGCAGTTTAGTTTGGATAAGCAAACAAGTAGTGCACATTATTTTAGATACCCCCCCCCCCCAGTTCTCCCCTGAAACCCTACCCTGTCAAGGATACAATTTTACAATGTCTTCAAAGTTTCTAAAATATATAAATAAATGCATTTGTGCTTAGAAATGCTGACAGAGGGTCTGGTGTAGTGCAAGGGTCTATTAGATTCTGGAGAGGAAGTTGTTGGACATTGATGGCTATTTTATCACTCCTTCCTGTTGGAAGGTCATGACCCCGGAAGAGAGGAAAATACTGGAATTAAACAACTGGTTGCGCTGATCAATGGGACTGTAGTTCCTTCCCCTTTCTGAGCTTCCTTCTATTTGTTAATTGACTGTGATTGTTTTACATAGTTCTGTACTTAAAACAGATTAATATTCTATTTGTGTTATAAAATGAATTTTAAAAAATTGAAAAATAATTTAAAAATAAAACAATTAGTATTCTATGTTCTGTTTGAACCTGGAAAAGTGATACAGAACTATTTAAAAACTGAATACTCAACACAGCCCTGGCTGTCCCAAGAACATTCTACTGGATAGCATCAGAGTTTACATTTATATTTTCCAGTAGTTCTGTCTTCGCAAAGCTGCTAAGTCTTCAGGTCTTTTGGACTAATACGCCATCAACCCCACAACTGTTCCTACAGCATTCCTACAGGGTACAATGTATAGGAGCTGCTGGCCCAAGAATGAAAGAACCTCTGACTGTGCAATAGAATTTTCCCTCTATCTCCTCTTCCTGCTTGCATGCCCCCCCCCCCATAAAAAATTATCCAAGTTTCCTTAACCCTCAGGAGCAGATTTGAGGATGGCACGGGGAGTGTGCAGGAAGAGAAAGCTCCTTTATGAATGAACCTTGTGCATTGCTTCGTTGGAAACTGCCTCTTCTCCCTAGAGCACAACTTATATCCTGACATCCAAAGCAAAATTTAGAATATAAATCTTTAAAAAATAATAATGAGATTTTGAAGTGGTACCATCAATATTCATCCTTCATTACTGCATATGGGTCAAGTCTAACTGGGATTTGTTTTTAAAATGGTCCTCTCCAACATGAAAAATAAAACTTGGGAAAATTCAGCCAATGTGAGCATTTTGATGCCTGTAAAAATATACGGGCTTTATTCAAAATAACACAGTCAGCCATGCATCAAAAATCACACCAATCCGTTTAACAGAGATAAACGCTATACCAGAAGTTGTAAAATTGCAAACAGTGGGGAGAAAAATTCGTGGGGGGGGGGAAGGGGGTATTCTAAGTTAAATAATTATGTGACTGTTTAGCATCTGTGAACCTGAGAACTTGTAACTATCACTTGAGGCCTAGGTTAAAATCAGAAAGCGTTTTCTCCATTGATCACAATGATGAATATATATATTCAGCATACCAGTTCTTGCTCTGGCCTTCTCCGATAGTGTAAGACTTATACAAAGGCTATGGAAAGTTTATAACAACAGCTTTCTGTACAAGTAACAAAATTCACTGTTACTTGTACCAGGATCCAACACAGCTGCTAGAAGGAAATAAAGAATAACCAAAAATGGTGTGCTAAAATGCTAAAAATCTACCACTTACTGGGAACTTAAGCAAGTCCTCACAGGGCAAGCACAAAGCGCTATCCTTTTCCTGCACACGGTAAGAGGTAAAAGGGAGAGCATTTTGCATAAGCAGTCTTTCATTTCTCAAGAGTGGGCTTGGCTTTGCCTTGATCTTCCACTTTCTTGATGGCAGCTTGGATTGCCTCTTGGTCACCAATGAACTGGTGCGGGCCAAGCGAGCGTAGATCCTCGTCAAGCTCCAGGAGAACTGGGACGCCAGTGGGCAGAGTCACATTGACTATGTCCTCATCAGAGATGCCTGCAGAGGAGGAAACAATGGAATGTTTATATGTGCCTCTTGCGCTCGGTTCATGCGAGGCTCTTGGGCCTAAGCTGCCATGACGTGTCATCCTATTTACCAAACTTTCAAAATCTGGTGGAGATAACCTGGAAGAATACTTCATTTCATGCAGAAAGATGCATAACAGGTTGCCCTTGATTGTTCCCCAGAACAATGGGCAGTTATCATGGGCATCTGGGGTGGGGGAGGCAGTCCCTGCCTCCAGATGAACCATAATCCCCAGATTCAGAGCTTTCTTTAAAAAAACAGTAGGCTATTATTATTATTATCATCATCATCATCATTTCAATTTATATACCACGCTTTCTCAGAAGATCCCATTAAAAACACATCACAGAACATCATAATAAAAACATATTAAAAATAATGATGGACAGCCTAATAGTAAAATAATCATCAAAACTAACAGTTCACTTCCCCACACTTTCACAGGCCATAGAATATTTATCCCATAGGCCCTGGGTAAAGGGAAATGTTTTTGCCTGGTGCCTAAAGACATGTAAAGATGGCGCCAGGCAAGCCTTTCTGAATAGGGAGTAGTCATCCTGCCCTTCCAAACACAAGCGTCCCCATCTTTCCAATACAGCACTCCGTTCCTTCGGTAGAGTATTACATCACTGAGTGATGCACTTCCAAAGGTTTCTCTTGCTAGGATAACAACTTCAGATTTGTTTCAAGAGATGGGGAAAGAGGATGGGGCACTTTGGCAGTCCCTGAGGGTCAGTCGGTCTTTACCAAGGGCCAAAGGTTTAGCATGGCAGGTTTAGCATAGCAGGAACTTTGCCCGACAATAAGCCTGACAGGAGTCTTCCCTGTCTTCTTTCAAACATCTTTTGAAACCTGGACAGCTCTGACAGACCTTTTGAATGTGATCTCCTTTTTAACACCCAGCCTTTGTGGAAGTTACTGTAGTATTTTATTTTATTTTATGGTGAACACTGCCTTGCTATGTTTTCTTTCTTAATGAAATATTTAAATAAACTGAAGGGCCTCTTTCCTAACTTGCCTTGCCTCCTCAAAAGCGTAAGCCAAACACTGAAAGTCAGTACAGTGGCACCTCAGGTTAAGAACTTAATTCGTTCTGGAGGTCCGTTCTTAACCTGAAACAGTTCTTAACCTGAGGTACCACTTTAGCTAATGGGGCCTCCCGCTGCCGTGCAATTTCTGTTCTCATCCTGAAGCAAAGTTATTAACCCGAGGTACTATTTCTGGGTTAGCGGAGTCTGTAACCTGAAGCGTCTGTAACCCGAGGTACCACTGTACTGGGCAACTTCTATGAGAAGACGCTGGAGGGACAACATGAATGTCAACTAAGGCCAGGGTCTGGTTACTTTACACAACTCGTAACACAAGACGGTTGACCTTTCGTGCGACTTGTGCATCCATTTCTCTTTGGGTTGCGGCCCCAGCAAATTTCAGCACACCAAGCTGAGCAAAAGCAATTACCGTATTTTTTGCACCATAACAATCACTTTTTTCCTCCTAAAAAGTAAGGGGAAATGTCTGTGCGTGTTATGGAGGGAATGCCTACGGGTGGCATGCCTACGGATTTTCCTCCTCTAAAAACTACGTGTGTGTTATGGTCGGGTGCGTGTTATAGAGCGAAAAATACGGTAAGTCCACATTGCCTGCTTGGATGCAACAGGAAATCATAGAATCATGGAACTGTAGAGTTGGAAGAGACCACATCTGGTCCAACCCCCTGCAATGCAGGAATCTTTTGCCCAATGTGGGGCTCGAACACACAACCCTGAGATTAAGAGTCTTGTGCTCTACTGACTGAGCTACCTGAGAAGCATATGTCTATGTAATGGCACATCTATATTACACACCATTTACTGGCCCTGGGTTTGGTCTTTTTGGAACATTCTGCCTTTCCCACCCTACCTGCTCCGAATGAAAAATGTTCTTGGAAGGAAAGCACAAAAATGAGGGGAGGCATCAGCTTTGCAGGTAAGTTCACAGAAGTTACTAGCTCCAAAATTAAGCAACAAACTCTGCAAGTCTAACTTCCTTCTCACTTGGATTGTTCTTCTCTTTCTCTACCAATTCTTGCACTGAAATCTCTTCCTATTGATACTGGCCTATCAAAAATTGCTCCCCCAACTGGTCCAGAAAGGCCTCTGCTTTATACCATATTTTCTGATAAGCATGGGGTGATAAAGATGACTCTGATGAGATTCCTGCACTGCAGGGGACTGGACTAGGTGAGCCATGAGGTCCTTTCCCGCTCTGCCATTCTATGAAGCCAGTAGGTTCAAATTAGAAGAATGGGGGTGCCGGCTAAGCTTTGGGGAGAACTTCCTGACAACAGGTCACGTTTGAGAGTAGTGTAGGCTGCCTCAGAAGCAAGCAAGCAAAGTGAACTGTGCAACTTTTACAACAACCTCCTATTTCTGCAGCGTTACCTAATGTCAGATCAGGTATTACAGCCTATAGCTTGGGCAGGGACCGAAGGAGTACACGAGGACATGTCGCTTTGATTTATAGAAGCCTCCAGACTTGGAGCCACCTCTGCTGAAAAGGCCTCGTCCAAGTCTGGCAATAGCCTAGAGGCATTAACAACCAACGTCCACCCCCTCAGCCTTCTGAGGAACTGGCTGACACCTGCAGGAATGAGCCCTGCGTGTTTTGTTGGCAATCAATGGGTAGGTTGATATTGGGAAAGGCTAGATATTGGGAAACATTGTTCCTGTGAGGTCTGTTTGAATAAGCCATTTCTAAATACGAATGTTTCGTTTTCGTCAGTCGCACGCAAAAGGAAAATATGGCATCAGCTCCAGCGGTTTCCGGGAGTGCCACAAGCCAAACGACAAGCATGCTGTACATATTCAGCCTCCTGTGCCTTGGTTGTTTTCGCCATTCGTCTACTACGCTGGAGAGTAGGCAACAGCACAACGCTGGTAAGGTGAGCAGGGGTGAACGTATGACTTTGTGTCATAACCAGGGCTATGGGCGCTTCCTCTCTGAGCAGGCCATGAGAGTGGGGCAGAGGGCAAACACTTGGCTGTCTGAACATCACAAAAGACACACACAACACAACCTCCCGCCGCATAACTTAGGTCCACAGATTTCCTGGGAAGATGGCGAAGGCAAGAATCACTGTAAATAACTCTGCAAACTCGAGAATGCTCTAGAGGTTGTCAGCAACAGCCATCTGACTGGCTAGCTCACAAGGCTAAAGAAGCGTATACGGTATTTTGTTTTCTAAAGAAGGGATGAGGAACCGGTGGCCCTCCAAAGGCTGTTGGACTCCCACAACCAATCGATTGCTGGCCATGCAGATGAAAGCCAACGGAACTTCTGAAGGCCACAAACTTCCCCATCCCTGATCTAAGAACTTATCCACAGTACGGACAAAGAAACGCAATAGGCAGTCCTTCCCTCTAGGGAACCAGGGAAAGGCAGTCCTCCGAGGAAGACGAGAGGTCTCCAACAGAGAATTCTCAGGATGCTTGCTGACCTAGGAGTCTCACGATTTTTCGAGAGAAGCCGCAACAGTTAAAACTGCTACAAAACCAATAGTATAAATGTGCCCTTTTTAATTTAAGAGAGAGAATTTATTCCTGAACGAATAGCCAAAGAAGACAGTATGGTCCCCAATGTTTATACCACATTTAGAACAAATTAGTGGCAGTACATTACCTTCCAAATGTTTCAGCAAAGCGCGCGTGCTGTTCCCGTGAGCAGAAATTAAAACCGTCTTGCCCCTCTTCACCTCCGGAGCTATCCTCTCGTTCCAATAGGGAAGGAGTCTATCAAGCACTTCTTTCAAGCTTTCTGACCTCGGGAGTTTCTCCAACGGCACGTCACAGTGCTTATACCTGCGGTCGTTGTAGATTTCGTGGTAGTAAAGGTGGGACTCAGTGATGGGAGGCGGGGTGACGTCATAGCTCCTCCTCCACCTTTTCACCTGCTCCTCGCCGTGGTTCAGTGCCATCTCTGCCCTGTTGAGGCCTATCAGGGCACCGTAGTGCCGCTCATTCAGCCTCCAGGAAGATTCGGTGGTGACCCACTCCTGCCCCATCTGCTCCAGCACAAGCCAGGCAGTCTGAATAGACCGGCTGAGGATGGATGTAAACACCAGGTCGAACTCAATGCCAAGAGCTTTGAGGTGCCTGCCACAGTTCTGAGCCTCTTTTATCCCGTCGCTGCTCAGCTTCTGGTCCACCCAACTGCAGAAGCGGTTCTCTTTGTTCCAGGCCCCTTCACCGTGCCTCAAAAGGATCAGTTTGTACTTGGCCATTTTGGCTGCAACTTCCTTGGGTTTGCGACAGGAGTAGCATCTAATGATAGACCATCTAATAAAGAGAAGGAACACACAGGTCAAACGCTTTGGGTCACTGTGTTGTGGTGAACCCTGGGGATCCACAGAATCTTGTCACGAGTTGCCCAATTAGATTTTCAGCAAGGAGAGATGAAGGCAGCTCATCCACCATTCTGTAACATGTAGAAGGGCGTTGGGCATTTCCTCCACCGCACTCTCAGTTCAAGCACAGCAATGGTGATTACTGATACATTCAGCTAGTGCTACATGTAAACTGAAGACTAGTGCTAGAAGCACGGTTAGTGAGTGGTTTGCTAGACCGTGTAGCTGGGATGCTGCCTGCTCTTGATGGGGTTACACTCCCTCTGAAGGAGACGGTATGCAAAGAGAACAACAACTACCAGACTTTTAGAATGTGTATCTGAAGAAGTGTGCATGCACACGAAAGCTCATAGCAAGAACTAACTTAGTTGGTCTTTAAGGTGCTACTGGAAGGAATTTTTTTGTTCAGACTTTTAGAAGACATCTGAAGGCAGCCCTGTTTAGGGAAGCTTTTAATAATAATAAATAATAAATAATAATATTTTTTTAAATTTATACTCCACCCTTCCTGGTTTAAAAACCGGGCTCAGGGCAGCTAACAGCAAATATAAAACAATGATTAAAGATGCAACTTAGAAACAGCAAAAAAATACAACATAAATGCAGCATCAATATCAATAAAATTCTAAAATTCAGGGGTCATTTTTTGGGGGGGAACCCCCAATCAGTAAACATCAAATGATCACTGGGGCTAACTGGCCAAGTTGGTCCTACTAGGGTCAGCAAAGAGACCAGGGAAGAATTTAAATGTGGGGTCCCAGAAAAGGTTTCTTCATAGAAAAGGGAAAAGGGAATAGAGGATCAGGCTAATTCAAACTGAAGGCCAGGCAGAATAGCTCTGTCTTACAGGCCCTGTGGAAGGAGATCAAGTCCTGCAGGGCCCTAGTCTTGTGGGACAGAGCATTCCACCAGGTCAGAGCCGTTTGATGGATTACTGTATTTTAATATTTTGTTGGAAGCCACCCAGAGTGGCTGGGGAAACCCAGCCAGATGGGTGGGTATAAATATATTGTCGTTGTTGTTGTTGTTGGTACTTCTGGGTCCTTTGCTGCTGCAGAGTGCCTCCCACCAGCTTCAGCTGGTGGCCCAGTTGTGCCCCTATCTGAACAGGGTTAGCCTGACCACTGCTGTCTATGCTTTGGTAACCTCTAGGTTTGATTACTGCAATGTGTCATATGTAGGGCTGCCTCTGAAGATGGTTCAGAAACTTCAGCTGTGTTTGGGGGAGGGGGTTATTGGTTTTTTAGTGCTGTCCAGATGTTTTGGTCTACAACTCCCCTCAGCCCAAAACCGAGGGCACCAGGTTGGTGAAGGCTCTTCCACCCAATCAGCGACAACATGCTCAATGTGCCTGTTGCAGAAGACAACCCAGGATGACACAATTAAAATTCCTTGCGGTCAAACAATACCTGCAACACACACCCAATGAAACCCAGCCCTCAAATTGGCAAATGCAGGATTGCGTATTGAAACCAGCAATGTGCATCTCCTGATCTATCAAATTCCTTCTCCTGCACATATGAAATTCTGATCACCTTATCTGCTTTCCAGTCAACCCTCCCACGCCCTGTAATTTCTATTTACCCCTGGTAATCCACAATCTAATACGAACATATCAATTACATTTTGTAATCCATTGCTATATCCTTATACAACTTACCTAGATTCTCTTCCGGTTCCACGCACACACAAAAAGTGTATTCAAGCAAACACAGCTATCTATATTGCTTTTGAATAAGATCCCTACCTCCATGCCCTCAAATCCATCATGTGCCTCTAGCTCAATTCAGGGCATTATATAAATCTCAAAGTAATAAACATGCCTAATCGTTTGTTGATGGCACCCATCTGTCTTGAGAGGCAATGGAGTGCGCCTCCGGGGGTGAAGTCAAACCACTGTGTTTGCAGAACCGAAGTGACCTGCCTGGGGCGCACGCCTGGGCAGCCTGGGCTGGTGAGGTCCAAAGGAAAGCAGAGCAATATGTTTGGCACCAGCTGGGCTGCAGGAGTTGCCGGAAGGAGGCGTACAAAGTGCCATCCAAACATCTTTGGGACTCCGGATGTTTTTGTAGGGTTTACTCCTTAGCCTTTCCTTCTCCCAAAGATATCCCGCACGTCTGGATTCAATTCAGACATAGCAGGGACCTGGCCTCTGCCATTATGGCGCACAGAAACTATCACGTGATGCAACAGCACAGCAGAAGTGGCACCTAGTTGTCGGGGACCAGTGAGATAACGTACAAGGTCTGTGTGATATGGGGAAACAATGTCAGTTCCAAGATTAAAAAATGTGGAGGCAGGGCCATATTTTCATCTCACAGTAGCCATTTTTCATGCGTTCAAAAAGAACATCTGAGGTTCAACCTGTGGAGGAGGTTTGTGTGGTGTATGTGTGCGCACACCTGCTCCCACACTGAGCAGGAAGGTCTGAACGGGGCTGTGAAGCACATACAACTGAACAGGTGGCAACCTTGCAACAAGCAATCCTATGGAGCAGCCTCTCCTGGTGCGTTTGGACTGTCCATGCTCCCATCTCCCTCCTAAGTTTGAGACCTCGTGTGTTCTTTTTAAATGCCTGAAGAGGGCTCAATACCTTGACTAGAACCTGCCCATATTAGGATACCCCTTATACAACTGATATTTCTCATAGAGCTGGTTTATTGCTGGGGGAAGGTCCAGGGGTCGGTGGGCTTGACCCTCTTTCTCCATATCCCCAAAATACAGCTATTAAGCAAGGACATTTTTTTGTGCTTGTTCTTCTGCTGCTTTGAGACTCATTAGCACCTCTGCAGGACTCCACCATTTCCAAATAAACTAGCTTAATTCCCAATAAATCAGCTACCAATAGGTCATTGGGTTTGTGCAGGTTTTTAATAAACCACACTTCTTCAGCCCTTTCACTGGTAACAGTTTCTTCATAATAGACCCTTTGACTTCACCACTGGAATTGTAACACTGAAGAAGCATTTGAATAACAGGACTGCTCAAACCTAATGGAAGTTCAAACCCAAAAGAAGCAGGGTGCCACATCCACTGGTGCTAGCAATCAAAATGGGGCTGGTGCACGATCTAGACATTGACCTAGTTTGCACATAACGCTACGCCATCGCTGGTCCAGCCTAACTACAGGTTCGTTTGAATATGTGAACCCGGTCCAATGGGCTGACACTAGTTTACTTTCTGCCAATAACCCATGATGCTAATCTATGTTTATTGTTGGCTTACAAGCCATAGCTCTATTTAAGTATGGTATGACATTATGCCCAAATCAAACCACATTGCTTTATCATGACTTGCTCGGCCAACCCATCCCAGCCACCTGCCAAGCTACAAAGGCAGGAGACAAGAGCACATAAAAAATAATCATGCAACCATCTGCTTTAAAACAAGATAAAGATAAAAACAATTTGAACTCACCTTATCCATTGCAAATGCATTCATCCTACACAAATATGAGGCAAAAGACTTTACAGGTAGGCTGCAATATTAAAAGAGAGAAAGAAAACACAATGAAAGCTACTGAAGTTAGGGTCAGGGTCAGGGGGGAAAGAATCAAATATTAGTATTCCCAGAGGTGGTAAAACTGTGTCTGAGCTATGAGTTCAGCTGAGTGAATACTCCTCCATACACAACAAAAGCAAAATTACATGAATCCTTGAACTCTGGCACCTGGCATGTTAGGGAGAAGCATTCTAGCCACAACTTCCCCAACGTGATACTAGAATCATAGAGTTGGGGCTAGAAAAGATCTACTTGCTAGTGCATGAAAGTAATAAATATATATAGATAACAGTGTTGTTTTTTGAGAAACTGCAGGCAACTGAACTCTGAAGTTCAAACTTTGCTTAAAGCCCAAGTCCTGTTTGCTGTTCGATTTCCAGTTTTCATACCCAAACAGCATGGAGATGGGAGAAAGGCCTGTTACGTAATCAGTTCCTCCTGCTGGGCCAACGCTAGGTTCAGCTGTCTGCAAAAATTACAGCGCTCTCTGTGACATGCGGTTCCCAGTGAAGCCAAGCTGCAGGGCCGCCACAATTTCTCCAGAGTGCAAAGCAAACCAAGTCTGCCCACTGTCGAACAGGCATCCCATTAAGAGACATTTGAGTTGCATCAAAACGAGATTTGCGTGTATATTGTCATTGGCTTAAGGTTTCAATCCATTTCTTCCCAAATTAAGCAGCACTTCTGGGCTTTGAAGAACTACTGGTTAGTTTTAATAGAAGTGGTGAGGCATGCAGTCTAATATTTTCTATAATCCAGAAATGGGGTATTTATTCCTGGTCTGACTTAATCCACCACCACTATCTGCACAATGGGGAGTTGGTGGAATAACTGGAATGTAGCTACACATTCAGACACGGATTTTGGAGATCTGAGAATAGGATCTTTCAACTCTTCCCTTTAGATCAAGGCAGCCAGGTGTGGGATTGGAGTGGAAAGAGTTTTTAAACCCTCCTCATACACACACTATTTCCACCTCCCACCTCCCTGCTATTTGCCTTCCAAAAGAAATATTTATCAGTACCCATATGGTCCCTGTATGATATTACATATATTTGTTCCCTGCAGGACAAATAGCAGCTTTTGGTGAGGGCATTTATGCTGCAATGCTATGCCCGTTTATCTTGGAACAAGCCCCATTAATCTTAGTGATTCTTATTTCTTAGTAGACATGAATAGGATTGCAATCGCACTCTGGTAAATGGAACAGGGGAAAGAGATGACAAACACACACAGCTACATGGCAATGTGGACCCCGGGCGGAGGCATCCAGCAATGTTAACACGCAAACACTCATCTTGCTGTTGATTTCTGCTTATGTCCTGTGAGCCAAGCTACCACTTGCTTACTTGCAGTCACTGGATACCAACTTGGTCAAATGGTCAGTGTTTCTCAAACTTGGGTCGCCAGTTGTTGTTGGACTACAACTCCCATCATCCCTAGCTAGCAGGACCAGTGGTCAGGGATTATGGGACCTGTAGTCCAGCAACAGCTGGAGACCCAAGTTTGAAAAACACTCAGATGAATGATACAGAAAGCAACAGAATGGTCACCTGTACTCTATCACTCTTTCTGCCATGAACTCCCAGAGGAGGGATCCAAACGCCTTCAGCTGCCTAAGTACCTCACAGTGATATTAATAGAAGTCAAACCTGCCAAGTTCCTCTACAAGGTTAACCTTTAACATGACAGCTCCCTATAGCTTCCATTTTCATTTCCCCTCTCAAGTTCAAGTAAACAGTTTTCTTTGGAGAAACTCTTTAGGCATTGCATTTAGGCTCCTCATGCTGCTACAGTAGTCCTGCTTCTGTGCCTTTATGCAGAAATTGAGCAGATAAAGAGCTTTTCTCAAATTTTTTATTTCTGTAATGCTTCACCGGCTAAAAATGCTGTGAAATGGGCACAAGGTTAGGGCCACAGACAGATAACAACTCTACACCTCACATGCTCAGTCTCAGAATAAGGTCTGTAACCATATTTCTGGCATAAAAACAGCAAGTGACGTTTCAAGAATCACTACATCTCTACATCGATAAAACAAAAATCTGACATTGAATTCCTGCTTTCTCTGCAGCTGTTCAAGGGAAAAGAAGGTGGAAATCCTAAAGAGAAGCTTTCAAAGTACTGCAGAAACAGTACTACTATAGTTATCTAACTGTCCACAGTAAAGTAGTGAGGACAGAAAACACAAACTAATTGGTTCTGTTAAAATGCAGCACACACAGGCGAGAATGTTCTTTTTGTTACCACTGTCACCTGATCTGTCCTAGAGGTTAAAAGAGAACTCCCCAGTGTTCCCATGAGGCTCCTGGAGAACAAAACACAGGGGCAATCCAGGATAAACCGTTTCTGCAAAGAACATCAGTGTACAAACAAGACAGGCTTCTTCACTATTACAAATATATGGGCAGGATGGTTTGGAAGGGGCTTGGAGATGATGCGCATGCAGTCATCATCTGTTGCCATTTTTGAGCCAAATATTGCTCTCTATTCCTTCTCCCAACCCAGGTGCAAAGGAGAACAGGGCTCCAGTACTTTTAACAGTTGTGTTAACCTGCCCTTCCTCCAATAGCTCAGGGTAGCAGACATTGAGTCCCTCATTTTATCCTTCCAATAACCCCATGTGGTGAACCAGGCAAAAGGGGAATAACTGGTTATGAGTGACCAATAATTTAATGGTCTTCCTGGTCCTGGTCTAACACTCTAACCATTGGCCCCTGCCTTAGAGAGGGGTCCTGCACCTTTTATGGTGCAGGCAAGAGAATTTAAGCAAATGTACTCTGCATGACAAAATTATCTCTCCTACAGAGCTATAAAATGTTCAGGCCTCTTCCATCTGGCAACCCCACACTCAGTCCAGCCCCCGTGTTGCATATTGACCTACATAAAAGGTGGGATTACCAGCCAAAAGGGGTCAAATCGCCTGACCCTACTCTTGAGCCCTTTAAAGTACAAACAACAGTTTGATCAAAGGCAATCTGCAGGAAGAACCCAGAACAACCACCTAATTGCAATACTCTAATTGTTTGTGAATCCAGCTGCTGTTACACGCACAAAAGCAAAGCCTGGTAAAGGAGTATTTACAAGGTGTTGGTTGATATTACTCAGATAGCATAGCTTTGAACATTTCCTTTAAAAAAATACTATTTTAAAATACCTTCTCCAATTTGTGTGATTTTGCACACACAAAAAGTTCTTCATAACTTCCAACTATATTGACACCAGTTTCTACGGCTGAACCAAAAACAGCACAACATGTGCACTTAAAAATACATCACTGGATACAGTGATCCAACGCGGACTCAGATCACAAGCAGAAACAACCTATAAATCCCCCTGACATCAACAACTTGTACGGCTGCAAGTCAGTGCAATCCTGTACACAGATAGTCCTGAGCTAGATTAGACCTATGGCCCGGCTCAGTGCAAAGCAGCTTCCTATGGTCATACCATCCCACCCCACCCCCCGCAATGCAAGAATCTCATCCATGACAATGGTCACTGGACTAAAGACCAAATCTCCAAAATCTAGCTCCAAACACCATCCCTTTTTAAGCCTCAGACTGTGTTTCTCCAACTTGGGTACCCAGCTGTTGCTGGACTACAACTCCCATCACACACACACACACACACACACACAACCACTGGTCCCGCTAGCTAGGGATAATGGGAGTTGTAGTCCAACAAGAGCTGCCCGCGCAAGTTTGAGAAATACTCAGGGGAAGAGGCAAGGTGAACAGAATACTACTACTACTACTACTACTAATAATAATAATAATAATAATAATAATAATAATAATTTATTTATACCCTGCCCTCCCCAGCCAAGACCGGGCTCAGGGCGGCTAACAACAATAGTTAGTTAATAATAATAATAATAATAATAATAATAATAATAATAATAATAATAGTTAACAACAACAAGAATAGCAACATCCAAGCCCAGGACTAAAATTAAAAGGGTGCATAGCAAAACAAGCCTAAACTGCCGCCATGCACCAGTAATTTATTCTCCATTATATTACCGTACTTTGGGCTGGTTGAAATCCCCATGCGAATACTGAAAACTGCTCTGACCACCCGTTACCTCGGCGCAAGGGAAAGCCAGACCGCCGAAAGCAAAGACAGCCCCCGCGCAAATGCTGCTGATGCAGCTGCGGCCGCAGACAGTTGCTAACAGCGCCAGGCTGGGTTTTGCTGGTGGGAGGGGCGAGAATTTCACCAGCCCCCTCGGGTCCTCTCCATCCGATTGGAGCTTTCGGTTGCCGCTCACAGATAGGAAGCGGAGCGGCCGCCTGTCAGGAAGAGCTCCGCGATGACGACAGCGGAGAGGGAGGCCGTGGACTACGTGACCGGGAACGACTCGCGCGGCATCAACTCCCAGGTGACGCCACGGGAGGAAAGAGGGGCTGGATTGGACAGAGCGATGGTCGACGTGGTTCCAAGCCAATAAGCAACTGGTTCGCCGGCTGTGGGCCGTCTTTGGAGCGTTGCGTTGGTGGCCTAGCTGGGACGCTGGTGTAGGTTCCTTTGTTGCAGTTCTGCACGTGCAAGCGCGCCTCTGCGCATGCGTACTGTAAACCCTTCTGAGCTCATTGGAACTTGCTCTCTCTATTAAAGAAGATGCTGAGCGTTTGGACACTATTGGGGGGGGCGGGGTCAGTGTTCCAGCTCTTCTGTAGTCAGGCCTGCTCATAGCAGAGCCATCGGGATGGAAATCGGAAACCAGAGTTCACAATTTTGGATCTCAGTGCTAATAATAATTTTATTATTTGTACCCCGCCCATCAGACTGGGTTGCCCCAGCCGGGTTGTCTTTGATAACTGCAAATTCAGGTGAATACTTGCAAAAATGCAAGGAGCCATCACAAATGAATATTTTTGCCCCTTCAAATTTCATTCTTTTCTTTCAGAGTAGTTCATATATGAAGCTGTGCGATCACGTTATTTACATAGGCACGTACACGTACTATAAACCAGCTGTCGAAGCAGTCTCAACTACTTTTTGGCAAAAACAACTATGAATCCTGGGGCAGTTTAAACCCGAACAACTTCATGTCGGGGGCAACTTTTCCTCTATATTTTATTACCATTATTCATTCTCTGTAAAGAAAAAGTCGGTTGTGGTAAGTTGTGGTTCTTCAATGCATCTGCTGAACATGCTGCCACAGAATATAATGCACTGTTTCCTATTTCAGCCACTAGAGGTCAGTTTTTCATTAATTTAAGCAAGTAATAAACAAAAGCAAAAGATTCCCCTATCTTATCATCTCTGTTTACCATGGAGTTTGTGTGTTTATCTATCCCTGATAAATAACAGTCCCTGCTTCTACCTATTCTGCCTTTTGCAGAGATTCTGAAAGTGGCTTTTAACATTTCTGTCATTATTTTCACAAGTATGCTAGTGAAACTAATTCTTATGAGACACAGCCCATCCTTCACATCTCCAGAAGTTTACATCTGGTGATATTTTATCTAATAAGGTCTAGATTACATACACACATAGTGTTCAGATAAGATGAGGAGGTTGCAGGGCTGCACCAATGCACCTGTTGCCCCCCCCCATCCACCTGTTACATGTGCATCACTCCACCTGACCAAATCAGGACATGCATAGAGGAACTCCCTTCTCACTCATAGCAAATGTGTGGATGCCGGGGTGGGGTGCCTGTAGAATTAGGCTGCTGTACCTCCACCTCCCCTTACACATTTATTGAATACATTGCTGGGGAGGGTTCAGCTTTCTTGCACACACATATGTAAATGCATAGGCATGAATATTAATATCAGGCACACTGACATGCAATTCTGAGCATGCCACTTCATTTTTAAAAAACTTATTTTCTGCACGTTAATATATTATGGGTCAATTATATATAGATCAATTATATATGTGTATGTAGACCTTTCATTAGAAAACAAAAACAAATCCCCACTTGCTTTTAAACCAGAGCAGGATAGGCTATTCCAGGGTAAATGAATGCCATAGGCAAATAATAACCTCCAGCAATGTGCAATGGAGTGCAGGTAGAGATCTGTGATAGAGAATAGGAATGCTGCAGAAATGTGTCCCTGTTTGCACCTGCGAAATGATGGCAAGTATATTCATATTTAAACTATATCGGGAGGGGGGGCTTAGTGAGAGTTCTGAAAACTTTTGTCAACATAACCTGCCCCTGCATGAGAGACAGGGCTATATAGCTCAGTGCATACAGAAGGTCTCATGTTCTATCTCTGGCCTTTGCAAGTAGGCCTGGGACTGTCTCCTGTCAAATCCTAGAGAGCAGCTGCCAATCAGTGTAATCAATAATGAGCTAGATGGACCATTGGTCTGGCTGGCAGCTTCCTATGCTGCTGTGAGGGTGAAAAACTGCATATGAAGAAATTCCTCCCACCTTTTGTTTCCTTAATGGCACTCTGGCAATATTGGGGCACTGTGAAAAGTTTGTTTGCTTGCAAAACTGCCATTTGGTCTCTTCTTCCCAGGAACTGACCGTTGTCTGGAACTGCTTGTATTCTGCTCCATGATGCTTGGGGAAGAGAAAGAAGTTTGGTGCTTCTGAGTGTTCAGAGAGCTAAACAGAAATTAATAATCAGGCCTGCGAGCTTAGTATTATTTTTCCAGAGTGCAGATGGAGAGCTGAGGAGAAAATAATGGCTTCTTTTAAGCCATAGTAAGTTCATGCCTCAGGTTTCCTGCTTATTATGTTGTCATTATCCATCCATCTTGAGAGACAATGGAGTGCTCCTCTGGGGTGAAGTAAAACTGCTGCATTAGCAGTGCTGAAGTGACCTCCCCAGGGTGAAAGCCTGGGCACTGCGTATGGAGGTCCTGGGCTGCCTAGCCCTAGACAACAAGCCTTGCTGAAGTGGTCCAAAGGAAAGCAGAGCAATACATTTTGGCACCAGCTTGCTTGCAGGAGTTGCCAGAAGGAACCATAAAAGGCGCTGTCCAATTGTCTTAGGAACTGCACTCCGGATTTGTGCAGGGTTTACTCCTTAGCCTTATCTTCTCCCATAAGGCAGCGGAGGTTTAGGATCAGAGCTTTCCTTCTCCTAGATAGGCTACCTTCCCAGGTTGACAAGACCCATCTGCCCCACACTTCCCTCTACTGCAGGCGCAGAAACCACCTTCTTGACCACTGGATCCACTATTGGTCTCGTCTGCTCAATCTGCCAGAGCCTGTCTTTGCATGCAAGGGAAGTCCCTAACTCACCGAGGGTTTGAGACCCATTGGCTACCTTCACCTGGTTTAGCCCACCAAAACAATTCCCTGGGTGTGGCTGCTGTTGTGCGCTGACAACTTCTACGAGCCACAAGTGAAAGCTGAGTACAGGGTGGGGACCAAAGGTGGACAAAACCCCAGAAGGAGCACGGTGTGCCCCCCCATCAGAGGTACTACCCCTCCCCTAAGAACCCATACACCCTCATGACTTTCCTGGCTGCAGTGTGAGCCAGGAAAAATCATGAGGTATCATAAATAAAATTCTGAATAAGATTTGGTACATAGGATTTAGCTGGTGAAGATCAAACAAGAAAGCTTGTGATCTCCCATGAGGCCATTGAGCAGAGCAGAATTTCCCCTTGAGGTTAAAATCAATTTTGAGCTTGTTCTTTAACTGCCTTGGCTAGATAATGGAAGGACCTTGGGATCATTTATGAACAAGTAGGAATACATTTCATGGTTTAAAAATGGGGGGTGGGGCTTGCAGTTTAAATGCATGTCCTCCAAAGCCAGTTTGTCATGGCCAACAGATTTGGGGTGGAACTAGATAGTGAACTTTAAAAAAACAGCCTTGCTGTGTGTCAAGGTGATGATGCGCCATGGACACAGACAGCTCACATGGGTAGGCAAACTAAGGCTCAGGGGCCGGATCTGGCCCAATCGCCTTCTAAATCCGGCCTGCGGACGGTCTGGGAATCAGCATGTTTTTACATGAGCAGAATGTGCCCTTTTATTTAAAATACATCTCTGGGTTATTTGTGGGGCATAGGAATTTGTTCATTCCCCCCCCCCAGTATATAGTCCAGCCCCCCGCAAGGTCTGAGGGACAGTGGACCGGCCACCTGCTGAAAAAGTTTGCTGACCCCTTTCTTTGCACAGGGAATGAAAGGGTGCCAGGATGAAAGGCCACCCCACACATTGGGTTTTCCTTTGAGAGGGAATATAAGGACAAATAACCAGGCCAAAAATGAAGGTTCAAAGCTTTATTGCCTAAAAATATTTAAAACCTGGAATGGAAAAGAGGAAAATAGCAGTTGGAGTGAAGATACTTCCCTACCTAGCAGACTAACCCTACATTCATACCTACGGAGAATGGAGTGTACACCCCCACCCACCCCCAAGGCTAGAGATCCTGGCTGTAACAAACAAAAACAGGAAATAGTTGAGGCTTGCAGATAGGCGTTGCCTCTTTGGATTTCTGCTGTTTAAGTCTCCTCTCACCCCTAGGGACCACTCTGGGGTCTCCTGGGCTCTGCGCCTGCCTAGTGTAATTCAAAATAAGCCCTTTCCCTCCTCGCATGACTCTTGATCCCCACTCCAACCATCTGGCAAGGTTGATTTGATTTCGCCTCCCCCACGCCCCATTCCCGATGTAGATCTTTATTCTCTTCTTGTTCCCGATGCAGATCTTCCCTCCCTCATTGTCCCCTGGTTGTACTTTGCCTCAGGTGCCAAAATGCCTTGGTGCGGCCCTGACCCCGCTTTCCTTCCTGGACTCGTCCCGCTGTAAGAAGCTGGCTTGCTTCGCCTGGCGCTTCCCTCAGGACCAGCGAGAGCCGGGCCGTGTCCCCCACGTCCCCAGGCGGGCCTGACTCTGTTTCGGCTCCCTTCGCAAGGAGCACGTCCTCACCACCTGTTGTTGTTATTGTTTAGTACTTTAGTTGTGTCCAACTCTTTGTGACCCCATGGACCAGAGCACGCCAGGCACTCCTGTCTTCCCATGCCTCCCGCAAACTCATGTTGGTAGCTTCGAGAACACTGTCCAACCATCTCGACCTCAGTCGTCCCCTTCTCCTTGTGCCCTCCATCTTTCCCAACATCAGGGTCTTTTCCAGGGAGTCTTCTCTTCTCATGAGGTGGCCAAAGTATTGCAGCCTCAGCTTCAGGATCTGTCCTTCCAGTGAGCACTCAGGGCTGATTTCCTTCAGAATGGAGAGGTTTGATCTTCTTGCAGTCCATGGGACTCTCAAGAGTCTCCTCCAGCACC